AAATATCCTTTCTGGTGTACATTTCCCAACAAACAACAAAAATGAAACGTCAGATTTATAATGAAATTATAAAAAATACAATCAACTTGTGTAATATAGGGTTTGCCTAATTGTTATTCGAGGCTTTCAACTAAATTTCATCTGATATTTCCTTCTCCAAAAACAATATATAATAATCAATAACAGATTAGCCTAATTATCCCTAATCCGATTCCAAAATATAAAACTAAGTAAAATTTGTAAATATGGTACAATTGATAGTAAGCTATAGAGTAGTAATAGATTAATTACAAATACATATAGATAATAGCATTGTATCGTTGAATCTTATGGCGATTTTTTTAAGTCCCCTGCTTACAGGTAGTATAATCAAGGATTTAGTTAAATGTCTGCTTTCATATTCAAATTGAGTATATCTCATTCAGTCGAACAATTGCATACACCAACCAGAACAGTGGACTAGCAGCCATCTTGACTAGCTTTTTTTCAAATTTTTTCCATTTCCTCCCACTTTATTCCCATTATAATGAGAGTCTTTGAAATCAACAAGTTGCATTGTGCTATTACAACTTCAATGGGTATAAATCAATCTCCAGGATGTTCAGGACAACTACGGTTCACTTGAAACCATTTATCAATACAACTGAAAAATATTAATTATACTACATTACTTTCATATCATTATTTATATTTATAGGAGACAATATAAAAATAAAGTGACTTTATATAATATATTTGATTTAAAATTATAAATTTATTAAATGTAACATAGTAGCTTACTTTTTGTGGTATATACACAGGCAAGGTAAGCGGGCTATAACATCTCCAGGTTGTAATTCTTCAAGACAAATAACACATTCACCTTTTTCATCAGATAATATATCTTCTACAGTGAAAATAGAAAAAAATACATTAATTGTCATCATGAAGAAAATATAAAACAGATTTCATCTTCTTTATTTATATACTTAAAGGTACAAGATATATTTAATTACTTAATCATTTAATATATTCTCATTTAATATTTTACTCATTTAACCTTTTTTATTAAATACTGAAATAAACTTACAAAATACTTTCATTATTGTTGTAATAATTTCTATTATTATTTATTAAAAGAAAATGAAAAATATGTTAATAATAAAGTTAGTTAAAATAATTATGTTAAACAGAATAAATTGGGTAAATTATAACAAATAAATATCTCATAAGAGAAATAAAATATTAAAAAATCACATAATGAAACTCTTATGGTTATAATATATTAACTATGATGAATGCTTTTAGATATATCTAACAATACTTCTGGATTCATTCCTAGTTTCTAAAACAATTTTCATTTTTTTTTTAGTAACTCATGAACATTGCCACTGTACCAAACATTAAGTGCAGATTAAGCTTATAAATTTTCCCTCTGTAAAATTAAAAAAAGCTGCTTTTTATCATAAATTAGCCATTCAGAGTGCCCTTTCAAATGAAAAGGGTTACTGACCTTTGTTATAAACAAAACATATGAAAATAAATATATATGTTTATGTATTATGTATTATGCTATTAAGTAATTTTTAAACAGTCTTAATAAATGAAACTTACTTTTTATCAATCAAAATATAATGGATTGGGATAATATAAATTACTACAGCATAAGTAAATAATATTGATGTATTTCTTATAGTACAAACCTATTAATAAAACCAATTAAATTTAATAAAATGTAAAAAAATGTTGAGAAAAAAATATCTTCAGTACTTTCCATAAAATTAAAAGAATTGAAAAAATTCAAACATAGTTAATTAAATCTTAATATTATTAAAAAGGTAAAATTTATGAACAACAATTTGGATACTATTATAATATTTTAATAATGTTGAAATAGCAACTATAGATAATAAATATTTCTATAGCCTAATTAAAACTGTTTAAAAGTTTAGCACTTCTGTGTAATCATTTTTCCATATTAAATCTAAGCATAAAGTAACAAAGTAGTAATTTATTTTTAAAAAAAATTGATTTTGAATATATAGCATTTACAGCAAATATTACACATACAATAAATAATATTCATTTGTTATCAAGAAAATTCCAATTCTTTTACATCTTATTTTAATTAAAAAATATTCATTTACTTATCTGACTCTTGCTGTATTTTTGATTTATTTACATATGTGTAAAAAAAGGAGGTAAATACAAATAATAATTTAATATCTTAAAAGTCAATTTTCATCATTCTAGTCTTCAATCTTACAGATTTAAAAAAGAATGTATTGAGGTTGATTTTCATCAATTCTATGTAGAGAATGAATCAAGTATTGATTACAAAATTACAAATAGGAACCTAACTAAAACAAATCATTCCTATAATCTATATTAGAAAAAATGACTTAAACAGAAATGTTTTAATGATACCATTATAGAATCCTTATTTTCTAATACAAATCACAAAAATAATTCATTTTAGTTAAATATCTATGTAAAATTTTGGTATGAATCCAATTTTATCCTTTGTAGAAAATAAACTAAGAACAACCCTGAAACAGGTCTCTAAAATTTACGTAATTTAGAATCAAAATGATTAAAATTGGTTACATTATTTTTATAATGTTATAATGTTTCTACTTATTTTGGCTTATATCTATAAAATATACATTCTTATTATTATATCATTTATTTCAGAACATAGTAATACATATATGCTAATTAAAGGAAAATGTTCTAAATTATTGAATAATATAAGATAAAATCTGATTATACAAAATACTAACTCACCATTGTAACTAAGACGTGGCTTGGTCAAACACATAACCAAGTGACACTCTATATCGTCTGGTAGAATAAACTTGGAGCAAACAGGACATTTTAGACCTTGAATACAAAGCAAAAAAATTATTCGTTGTTTTAATACTAAAATACTTATTGTTATGAAACTAAGAAGAATTATACCGTAAAAGATTCTTCTCACTTGATTTACAGGAACAACTTCTGTCTCAGATTCATTTAGACATGAACTTATTATAATTCCCATAATAAAATTGAAATAATTTTAACATACCCATCACAGATAATATTTTATAACTGTACAAATTTCTTTGTTTGGAATTGTTATTTTATAGTCTCAATTTAAAATTTACGCAACTACGTTAAATTCCAATCGATTTACATGTGGTTACCGGGCCAACTACTTCGACAACATGCGTCAAACAAGTACTCTTTATTTTACCCACAATTATTTCGTAAAATTTCAAGATCGCAACATAACCTTACTTTCATTTTTTCCAGATTTTATCATATTTATAATACACAAAATAATTTCAAGTTTTAGCATACTCAATAAATGCAATGAATTAATAAATAAGATTATTTTTCGAGAAATTTATGCAACATATATATTAAAAATAGTACAAGAATATTACATATTATTATTTTCCAAAATAAACAAAATCGAATCTAAAAAATTCATATTATAGCTATATTTATATATGAGTATTCTAGATGCTTGCATATTATACAAAGTTATGTAATCAATGATAACATATCATATTAGCTAATGCAAATTTACTTTTAATTCTATAGATTATACAGATTTATTTATAAGTTTCATAAATTTTATAAATTTATTTAAAGTAAATGTACTGCTATCTTATATATATATATATATAAAAAATACATATACGATAATATATATTTATAGAAGCAAAAATAATTAAAATAAATAAATACTCAGTTCTTTAAACACTATAATATACTTGTTATAAGCTAATAAACTTACCGTTGATAGACCAAATATGAGAGGGCAAGCTATGTGCTGCATAAACTCGTCCACTTTCTTCATCAGCATCGTCTGAATCAAGCTGTGGCAAACCAAGTGCTTGACCAACTCCAACTCCAACTGAAGAAGCAAGAGTGCTTTGTTCACCAGATGAGAGATCTGGTACTGAACTTAAAGAACGAGCACGTTGCCTACTATCTCCAGATACTCGAGAAGTTTGTGATTGATTTCCCTGCTGATGTTGATGTTGTAACATGTTAACAGCTCCAGGAAGAGAACGTAGCACAGATAACCCTTGCATTGCAGTTTCATTTGCTCCAGTAGAGGATTGTCCATTGCCTCCAGTAGATTGTGCCACAGTGCTTGCTTTAGTTCCCATCCCAATTTTAAGTAATAATAACGCTTTTGTCAATTTTGGTATAAGTTTTTGTCCAAAATGAAAATTTTATCCCGCAATCAGAAGAAAAATTAACATTCCAAATATTGGTCTTGGCAGTGGTACACGCACTGACACAATTTTTGCAAATAGTCCTAGCTTTCTCGTTTTTTAATGTTGTAAGAGTAGTCAAAATTTGAATCGTAACTTCAGCAATATTACAACACTCTAGGATTTAATATAGGCCGGAATTTTGTACACATACACTGTAACGGGCAAGTCATATCGTCCAAAAGCATACCAGCGGCTTGTCATGCAAAACACCCCCCGACATCTTGCTAGAAACTTCCTAGAAGTCAGTGACCAGCTGCTACGGGATATTCCATTCATATATTTAACCTGTGTATGAAGTTTAATTTCACATCAGTTTACATGAAATTTCCCTAGCATTATAAAATTTATTTATTTATTTAAGAATGTAAAATGTATTTTATTTTGTCAAATACAATCGCATAGAAAAACAAGTATTTTGAAAATATCCCTAGCCTTATTTTAAAATTTTTTAGTTGATTTATATATATTTATAATTATATAAATAATATATACATTCTTCTAACGTAAATATTTTAATATTTTTTGTCCATTTTTGTATTTAGAAAATAAACATATTTGTGTCAATATTTAAATTCGAAAATTTTGAACGAGTTACTTCATAGTAGTATCTATCTTATAGTTATATGTCTATGTTCATGCTGCTATCCTGTACGTGTAAGGTGTTTTATCTAAGCATAAGACAATATACTTTATTTTATTATTGTTAAATTAAAAGTATTATTTTAAATAATACCATTAGTAAAAATGTCTGCGTGGAGACAAGCAGGATTAAAGTAAAATATTTTCTATTTATATTAAATATTCGAATAATTAAAAAATGTTATATAATCTATGTTCACATTTTAGTTATATCAATTATTCGCAAATATCTGCTAGACTTATTAGACAAGCATTGAAATCAGACCTTCGACCAGAAGCTACAAAGCGAGATGAAGTAAATGTAAAATTTACTCAGTGGAAAGATGGTAAACCTGCTAGTATGTACATTATTTTTATATTACTCAAATACTTTAGTTGTAATATTGTTATATTTATTTTATATTATTTGTAGAAAGGTATATCATAATTCTTTGAAATAATTTAATTCTATATCCTATAAAGTCATATTTTTTCACTTTGTTATATATTTTATATGATATACATTATCATAAAACTGATGCACTTTAATTTGAAAAAGGATGAATCTACATGAAAAAATAAATTGATAACATTTTTTTAGTACAAAGCTTGATTTCAAATAAATTAGAGCTAAAGATATATAAAGCATGTATAAATTTATACTTATATATTAGATTTGTATTATTACGTTACATAACAAAAGATGATCAATAATTAATTATAAAAGTTGATGCAAATAATTAAATGATAAGAATTGTTGTAAATGACTCTTGGTTTTTGCTTTGTATTTTTGTAGTCTCTTTATAATTATTAATAATTTTCTCTCTTCTTTTTATTTCTTATTTTCATTATAGTCCATAAAAAAACATAAATCTATAAATATGTATGTATTGATCAGAAATTATAACATTCAAATTATTTTACCATTATGATTGACCCAACAAGTACTTCAAAAAACTTTTTAATTTTTTTACAAAAATATAGAATTTTATTGTTAATTTTATTATTAACAATTTAGGTAATTTATGACATAAGGAATCCAAATATTTTCTTTATAAAGAAAATGGGACAAATTGATTTATAATTCATAAAATGTAAAGCAGAAATTATTTATTACTGTTATAATAAACAGTGAATCAGTTATATAAAATGTAAATATGGAATTTATATTTGTGAAATATTTAAAGTATGGTTTCCAAAATGTTATTACACATTTTGTAAAACTTGATTACTATGTTTCTTTTAATTTATTAGACATAGCTGCTGTGTTGACAAAGTATTTTAAAAAATTTATGTTTGTTTGGTTTTTTAAATGGTACTTTTATCAGAGTAACTTGGCTATTGATCTTTGTGGTATCTAACATTCATAGATACATTTTACTTAACAAATTTTCAATATTAATAACTTCGTATAAAAAATATTACTTTATATTTTTGTTATTAATTTTTTCATGTAAATTCATCCTTTTATATTACATAACCAGTTCAATGGTACCTTATAGTTTTTAAGTGTTCATATTTATTTATAACAACTTTATCAATTGCCTGTTTTTTAATATATTAAAGCAAATATTGTCATTAGTAGGAACATATATTTTATTTATTTAAAGTCTATTTTTTTAAATAATAAGCAATAAATTAAATAGAGCTCAAATTTTGTCACAAAGATATTCAAGCACATAACTTACTTTGTTATTTATTCACTGTAATAAATCTATTATATTGCTAATTAAATGTTTATGTACAATGTATTGTTCCATTATAAATATAATATACATTATAAGTATAATATAGTTTATACACTGTGTCTGAGAAGTTTAATTTTTATCATTATTACTTTAATATTATTTTAGGTTAAATATAAATCGAAAATCATACAAAAATGTTTATTTTGTAATTGCTTCAAAGTACTGCATTTTTTTTAATTACCAAATTTAAATGCAATTGAGAATTTATAAGGTTAAAATGAGGGTTAATAAAAGATTAGGAATATAAGATTATTTAAAACAAATTTGTTGCTACTACATCTAAGCATTAAAAGAAATTATTAAATCAAAGACTAGTTTGAAAAAATATTAATTATTGAACTATTTTTTTCTTTTTTATATATATAATTAATATAGTTCGTCTAGTGTCCGAATAGTTTTACATTGTGAAATTTGAGCTCTATTTAATCGCAATATTTAATTATTGAATGAAAATATATAATATTAAACAGTTTTGCATGTATTATCTATTGGTATAAGTAATTAATCATATATCTCTTCGATTAGAAAAAAAATACGTTAATTGAAATTTTTATAAATAACAAATAATATTAGAAAATATGAAAAAAAAAGAATAATTAGAATGCGTACTAGTAACAATCTCGAAACAGCTACAAAAATTGATTTATTTAATTACGTTACTTTATTACCTTAGAAGTTTGGAAGCGGTTAAATTTTGACGCGCAATAATTTAGATATCTGTAGCATGATAATAAACATGTTTGTTTATAGTCGCAAATTATCTTCTGTTGTCGTTGAAATTTATTTCAAGAGATCCGTCTGTTATTGCTCTTTAAATTATAGATGGAATACTTTTTTATTTTATTTATACTTATGAAATATTTTTAAATACTTAAATGTTAAATATATTTTGAGTTTTTTAATGAACAATTTAAATAGTAAATTCAAATTCTAACTTAAGCCATTTAAGGTTGTTTCTATAACAAAATTTCTCTTAATAGAAAGTATAATAGATTAATGAAATCTTTCTACTTAAAATGATTTTAAACACAAATTTATGAAACTGTTTCGACTTAAATATACTCTATATCACGGTAGTTTTTTTTTGGTACAATGTTTTCACAAAAGTTAGGAAGATGATGAGTTTATAAACATTATATAATGAAAAACAATTGAAAAATGAGAAAACGAACGAAGATTTCTTATTTTTAGTGATTATAGATATGCACATTTAAAACCATTAAATCTTTTTTTTTTTATTGACAGCTTAAAGTACTAAAAATCAATTTCTCAAATAAAATTTTTTTCTTTGTATTAATTTATCAAATAAAATTGATTCCTTGTCTTCTTCCATTACCATCCAATTATTATATTTGGAAAATTTCAGTTTAAGCGTTGATTATTAATCGATCTAACTCATTAATTGAATTATTCAAACAAACCGATATGAATGTCGTAACGTAAATCTGTATTTAAACTTTCTTAAATTAGAAAGATTTCACTAATCCATTTCAATCCATTTTATTAAGAAGAAAAGTAGTTCAATT